GGAGCAGCAAGATCCCCATGAATAAAAGGTATCTGTGCGCTCGTCTTTCTGCAGCACAAACCATTATAATAAACGGAACAATGCACATTGTTATTTAACAAATTCTTTACATGTAAAGATGTTTTCTCTTTTTTTTTTTTGAAGCCATAATGATTTTGTAGCAATCTTGGACCTGCCTGAGGGTGAACATCAGTACAAATTCTTTGTTGATGGCCAGTGGCTTCATGACCCCTCTGAGGTGACTATATCTGCACAACGGTCTGCATTTAAACCAGGGTGGCTGGCTGAAATGCATGTGTTTTCTCTTCAGCCGGTTGTCACCAGTCAGATGGGCACCATTAACAATCTGATCCACGTGAAGAAATCAGATTTTGAGGTGTTTGACGCGCTGCAGGTGGACTCTCTCGAGTGCTCTGATACGTCCGGTTAGAGCGTCTCACAGTGCCACGCAGCATGTTATTAGTCATGTTATAACATCATTACACAAACACCTGTGTGGATGTACAGTCACAGTCATGGAGGTCTGATAGAAACAGCAAAACTAGCCAGTGTTAATGTGATGCAGTGTTGTGTGTAGATCTGTCCAGCTCTCCGCCTGGGCCGTACAGACAGGAGGTGTACGTGTTCAAGCCTGAGGAACGCTTCAAAGCACCCCCCATCCTGCCGCCTCACCTCCTACAAGTCATTCTCAACAAAGACACCCACATATCGGTGAGAATCCTCCGTCTTACTGCCACATACAGTATTGCCAAAGCGTCAGGGTGAAAAATGTGCCAGTAATGGTAATAAAACTAAAATAACAGTATATAATTAAAGAGTCATGAAACCTTGAACCACATTTCCTGAGATGTTAACGGATATAAACAGTTTGCACATCGCTGAAAACAATAATAGCTCCCATTAGGTTTATTAATAAGGGGAAACTTGTCATTTTTCTGAGCCATTTCATTAGTTTTTTTCTGGTTTGAAAAGCAAAGTTGCTACTATGTCACACAAAATATGTAGTTAACATTTGCAGCCGGAGTCTTGTTTTTTTCACTCACACTTTAATATTCATTCATCTGTATAATTGTATAAGTGTGTTATAGGCCTGTTTTATTGCTTGTCTCCTCGCTTTCTGCCCTCTTCTTCCACTTTTATACAGCTTTAGACGCAGTGCTAAAACCAGGGGTTTCATGACATTTTAAAATGAACATTCAACAAGATATTAATGATATTTATATTCCTTTGTTTGTTTTATCAATATTCTTTCTCTGTCAGTTCATTGAATAAAAAAGTAAATAGAATTGAATCCATGAACTCTATTTAAAAAAAAAAAAAAATTTAATTCCTGCATCTTGCATTTTTTAAATGAAAAAAATCAGTCTGGATCATGTCAGTCCAGTAAGATAGATGTGTATGGATCGTGTGGTTTGGCTTAATTCTGTGTATTAGCTTATCCATGTCTTGAGGCTGAATGAAACGTCTCGGTTTAATTTAGTTTGTTTTGCGTGTTTCAGTGTGATCCTGCCCTGCTGCCAGAACCCAACCACGTGATGCTCAATCATCTGTACGCACTCTCGATAAAGGTACGTTACACAGCTGTATAACAGCCGTGTGCTACCAAACAATCTCTCTCTAATGATTAATAACTGACTGATTGAACGTTTTCTGTCTCAGGATAGTGTGATGGTTCTCAGTGCAACTCATCGCTATAAGAAGAAATATGTGACGTCTCTTCAGTACAAGCCAATTTAAAATGCTGTGGATGACACGTGATCTAGTCCTCATCCACTATAGTCCAGACTGCACTATAAACCCGCGATACATACAGTGGATCTGTCCACTTCAGCAGTAGTGTGAGTGTGAGAGAGTGAGAGTGTGTGTGAGAGTGTGTGCGCGTGTGGGAGTGCGCGTGGGAGTGCGCATATGGGAGTGCGTGCGTGAGAGTGCGCGTGGGAGCGCGCGCGTGAGAGCGCGTGGGAGTGCGCGTGTGGGAGTGCGTGTGAGAGAGTGTGAGTGTGTGTGTGTGTGTGTGTGTCCTGTCATCACACATGCAATACATGGACATCTAAACTTCCTGTTTGCCGTCTTGGGTGCAGCATTTTACAGTCTTGAAGGCAAGAATTAATCTGTCCAAAGCTCTTTATAAAACGCTGTCAAACAGGATTCATATATTTGAAAACTGCAGACAGAAGATCTTCATAAATACAAGTGAGGTCAAGTTTTGAGTTTCAACACTGATGAACATTTGAATGTAACAATTCGTTCTAAGCTTTTATAGTTTATGGTCTCATAATTCATTTTGTAAACTGAGGGAAAGACACATGTTTATGTGTCTGTTTTCAGAACAAAAGGAAGTTTCAGCCAAACACAGTGGCGTTTAGTATTTGCGCTCCTAACAGAACCATTCGCTTCAATACTTTCATGTCGACACTGATAGATGTGCTTTGAGCAGAGTTGTATGATTTCAACAAAAGGAAGCTGTAAAGGAGGACTGAACAGATTAAAACATTTCCAACAGCGTCACAGAATGGCGCAAATAGATTTTGAACTGTGAGTTTTTTGGAGTTTTACTGCATGTGGTTTGAATTTCACCATCATGCTGTCAGACGAGCACTTTAGCTGTGTTTCACTGTGACAGACAGACATGTTTTTATTTTATCAAGCAGGAATGTATTTTTGCATCTGTTAGAAATATTAATTTTATGCCAGACGTATGTGGACACCTGAGCCTAACTGGCCTGTTCCGGTGGTGTTCAGGTCTGGTCTTTCTGGTGTTGAAGAACTAGAGTCAGTGAACCCTCCACAAGCTCCTGCAACAAAGTTGGAAGCACAGAAATCTCTAGATTGGTATTGCGTGTGTATCATGAATATTCATTTTGCACTAGAATTACTGGAATAGACATACTTGTTAACTAAGAACGGGGCATCCACATATGGTTGGCCATAATGTGTATAATGTTTGTCTGTGTTAAATATTGTAGTGTGAAATGCTTAGTTTTGTTTGCTTTATCATTTCTGGCCATCAATATTAAATGTTGAATCAGGAATTTTTTAACATTGAGGATGATATAAATTATGTTCATGAGGTTTTATTTGTTTGCTGTGAGTTGAATTGTGTGGCGTTGAAGGTTTATTCACTCCAAAGATAATCATATGGTGCAAGTGTGAAAGGAAAGACTGAAAATAGGAGTTTCATTAGATAATGGCAACACCACAGCTTTATGGATATTATTTTGAGGGAAAGTCCAACTTGAAATGTTTTTCTTTTTCTTTTTATCATATATACTGATCAATTATTTGTTGAGCTATGCATTATAAATGTATGTTTTGCTTCTAAAATTAATAAAGCAAACCATTCTAGTTGATTTGTTTCTGTTCACATAAAAACAACTATTACATTTCAAAACATTTATGCAACTGTCACAGACAAAATGAAAACGAATGAATTTCTATTGTTTATTCCTGTTTAAACTCCAAATGCAGCTGTAATAAAGCATGGCACATTTTCATCAGCGTCAGACACAGAGTTTGATTGGCTCGTGTCGGCAATCTTTTGTTACATTACACCATAACATCAGTAACTATAGCAACAACTGAGCCTTCAAGCACTATATACATATTATACAGATTTCAGAACCAGCATCTGCTGCTTATTTCTCTCTGTACCTGAATTCAGGTTTGTTTCCCCCTCTGGCTTTGGTATTTCATCCAAAACATTCCTGTATCACGTTAATCCTTCGGTTACATTTCATTTGTGGTTCTGAACAAAGTGATATGAGACCCAAATACTGTGGAGCGCTCACAAGGCCATTTAAAGATTGATATTGCATTTCTCTCTGAAGAGAAATCACTTACATGGCTGTTTAAAGGCAAAGCAACATTCACTTACAAGCATATATTTTCATCCTATGCGAGAGATTTGAGGCAAGGCAACTTATACGGTTTATAAATTGGTGTAATGTACACAGTAAGTTCATCTATACAATGTCTCACATCAAGATCAAATGGCTATTGCACAGCTACCCATGTTTTATAAATTTGCATATCCTATAGCGAACGTTGACTAGATTGACCCACACTGCCAAATTCAAACAGCAGGAAGGCATATATGTACAGCTTGGAAAGAAAATATACAGCAGCACAAATCTAAGAGCAATAAAGACATCTCTGATTGTGATTGGCTACGTGATTGTGACATCAGCAGCTCTGGTCCCACCAATCCCTGCCAAAGTTTGCAATCTGTAGTTCAGAAATCTTCAACGCTGTCATTGATTATATTTGCACAGGAGTAACTGTGCACAAATCAATGTCAACTTACTTGCATTCTATATAAATTTTTGCAAATGCAGAAAATCTCAACTTTCTATATTGTGTCCTCAACCCATTTATTTGCTTGTGAATGAAGTTCTGGCATAAGCGACTGCCAAGACGCCCAAAGCACTCCTACACAGTTCCTACAAGATGGTTAAAATAGTGCTAGTAAACATGGGTTACTTGAAATCAGTTTACATACAGAAGTCATCATCAACAGCTGAAATGAGGGAAATTAACCATGCAAACTTTGGCTTGTTTGGTGAACCTCACCTAACATCCTCCAACATGCAAATACTAAACACAACATTCAGTTTCAATCAGTAGCACTGGATAATGATGACAATATCAACAATCATACTAATACTAACAGTGGCACAATAAATGGCACAATGTCAACCACGTGAACTTATTTCACACGCTTTAGTTGCCATTTTGTTTCGTGACGCAGCGGTCAGTGCTCAGAACGGCTCGCATGCTGATCAGCCACACAAATGTAACGTGTTTTTGCCAAAAATCCCTGAGATACTCAAGGGAATTTTGTAGCAGTCTGTTTATATCTCAGAAAGTGAAGAATGTGTTTCCTCTCTGTCTCGTGTCAAAAGATAAATACTGTCTTCTCACAAAGTGTCAATCAGTAGGCATGTGGATATTAACGGCCCACTGTTAAAGGAAAGAGGTCAAATCACACAGAAGCGGTGACAGAGGAGGGTAAGGTGGGTGAGTTAGAGGTGTTGACCGGTTGTCAGATGGTTTAACGGGAGGCAGAAAGCTCATGTCACTCCCTGACACGCTTCTTGGCAGGTTGCTGCAGATTGGCTGTTTCCACGGCGATCGCAGAAGATGCAGGGGTCACGCGACCCCGAGCAGAAGAACCTGCGGATGCACCTGTGAAGACTTTACCTGCAAAAGAGTGAAAGAACCTACATGACCCTACAATCAATCCTGCTGATTATCAGAAACACATCAGGGCAGAAACAGAATGAGATGCATTCCTGAGGTTAATACTCACACCCACACACTCTCACTCTCACAAACACACTCACACACCCACTCACACACACTCACACTCACACCCACACCCACACCCACACTCACACTCACACTCACACTCACACACACACTCACACTCACACCCACACCCACACCCCCACTCACACCCACACCCCCACTCACACCCACACCCCCACTCACACCCACACCCCCACTCACACCCACACCCCCACTCACACCCACACCCCCACTCACACCCACACCCCCACTCACACCCACACCCCCACTCACACCCACACCCCCACTCACACCCACACCCCCACTCACACCCACACCCCCACTCACACCCACACCCCCACTCACACCCACACCCCCACTCACACCCACACCCCCACTCACACCCACACCCCCACTCACACCCACACCCCCACTCACACCCACACCCCCACTCACACCCACACCCCCACTCACACCCACACCCCCACTCACACCCACACCCACACCCACACTCCCACTCACCCACACCCACACCCACACCCCCACTCACACACACACACAAACACACAAGCCACACACACTCAGAGTCGGTTTGAAGATTCTGTTATGTTATTGAATCATTTCTGGATCCGTTGATATGTCTGTTAGCACATGCTGTAGTGTGCAGTGAGGCATCAAATGTCTTCATGACAGAAAATATTTGACCAGCTCTGCAGGGCTGAAACGCTGATGTTTAATGATCATGCACACAGTGGATAAACTACAACATGTTAACTGTGTGGATGCTGGATTCACGTCACATTTACCTCAGGAAAGTCATTCAATTGGAGTAGAGCCACAATAAAAACTGCATTATGCGCACATTTAAATGTTTCTACACATTTTGACTGTTGATTATTAAATAAACTAAAACTTTAGTTTGTTTCAAGAAAACAATCATTTCGGTGCATCACTAGTTGTGTTTTATGTCAGTGAGATGTGATAAATCTCGTCCCTGTGTGTGATTGGACGAATCATGAGTAACTCAAGCGACACATGATGTCACATGACTGATCGCACAGAAGGAAGTGCTCAAGCAATTACGACACAAGCAGCGTGAGCTGAAACACACGCCACAACCCAGACCGTTACCATGGCAAAGAGAGGAAGAGGAGGAGCTTAGAGAAGAAATCCTGAGCTCATTCTTCTGGGAACACTCAGAGAAAATGAGAGAAATAGAGGAAAGACAGAAGAAAGAAAGAAGGAGGTCGAGATTCAAGATGAGGGACAAACACAAGACAAACAGCACTGAACACAATTTATCTGAGATGAAACCGAACACTCACCTCTAGATTCACTCGTGCTTTCTTCAGCACATCTCGCGTCCGGGAAACTATAAGACAGACGTGTTTGTTAAAGCTAGGATGCTGATGACATCATTACACTAACAAACCAATCACATATAAGAGCAAAAGTCCGAACTCACTTTGACAAACTTCAAAATACTGAAACAAATGAAAGGTGATCAGTGGACTCATCTGTGGTCCTGAGCTTCTGACTGGTGATGGTGGGGATAGCTGGCTTGTGTGGGTTAGCCGCTAGCCTAGCTCAGTATTCAAATACTGAGACGAGCTGCGCTCAGCATGTGACCTTTTTGTTTTTTGCTTTCGTTCCTCTCTACAAGCCCAAATGCAGTTGTTATTACAAACGCATTAAGCCACATAAGAACTCGCGCTGTTCCCCAGGCGGTTTTTCTGTGATGAAGCGAAATGAAAAAAGCTAAGTATACTTTGGGCGCCATGTGTAGTGTTTGGGATGTTTAATTCACGCAGTGAAGACTATTATGCAGTTTTAGTTTACATTTGATTACTTTATTCGATGTCTGTGCCAGGCTATTACTGGCCTGAATTCTGCTGTTAGGCTAAAAAGCACTGTTTGTTTCATGATTGGACTCACGCTGGTTGAAGATGAAGGTCTCCATGCTTTCTTTGGTTCGGTTGGAGCAGCGCAGACGCTGGATGGTTCCCTGAAGAACCTCCTCCTGTTCAGCGATCCGCAAACGCAGTGACTGGATCTCCTCACGCATGACCTGCTCCTGAGAGGAAACAGCGCCACATTCAGCTCAGTTCATTCACATTAACACTGCATTTGATTTTTAGGGCTCAATAAATGCGGTTCGAACCCTCTGAATGAGAAGAGCGGGACTGTCGCTGCTCGGAAGCGCCGCCCGCCAGAACATCTTGAGCAGAGACACGGCTTCGTCCAGAATCTGACGCAAGGTCTTGGTGTCGGAGAGCAGCGTCTTCACTGTGCTGTAGTCCAGAGCCTGTAAGAGAGAAACACATGACACCACTGCTGTTTGCACAAGCGCTCTGATCTGTCACGCATCTGAGCATCACCTTTCCTCCGCTGATCTCCAGCAGGGCAGAGCTGAGACTCGACTGCAGCGCCGCCTCCATCCGCTGCACCAGCGCCCGGCCCTCCATCACCTGCTGCTGCAGGGCGCTGTAGTCGTCCACGTGACCGATGGCGTGCCGCCCGTTACGGTTCGCGAACGAGCCGTCCGGAGCTTCTCCTTCCAGATCCGCATGAGGCTCCAGTGAGTCTGAAGAGAGAAGATGCATTTTAGTCCTTCTCATCAACCTAATTACTTGAACATTCCTCAAGCAGCACCACTAATAACTAGTTCCCAACCAGAAGTACTTCAGCAGGTTCCAGGAGGTCGTTGGTGCCAGAACTGTTAAACTTGTGCAAGACAAACAAGCTCAGGTTCTCAATGAAGCGAGAAGCCAAGTCTAATTGTAGGTTTAGTTTATGTTTCACAGCAGAAAATTAATAATATAAACAATAATGACTTAAATTCCAATTCAAACTACTTGATAGGCCTGCATTTCTGCCACAATGAAAGAGTGATATTATGAGCATCCCAGCTGCAGCTGATGTTAGCACACACCGTTAGTGTTCACAGCGCTCTCCTCCATCTCTGAGTACGGCGAGTACAGGGGCCCCACGTCTCTGACAGGAGGAGAAGGAGACGGGTCTGTGGAGCACGGCAGACCGGTTAGTACATCACAAACCATCACATCCATTCACAAACAACAGCACTGGTAAACTGCAGGTAATGCTCGACATATTCAAGCAGATTCTCAGGGCACATAACAACACCTCACACACAAGTGTCATGTTTTCTACTTGCTAAATCACTAGGGTGACCATACGGGCCATTTTTACTGGACGTGTCCTTGCCAGGATTTCTATATTGCCTAAAATATCCAGGTTTGGGCTGTTTGCACTTTACAGATCGATCATTGTATGACATTCACGAGAGCTATAGAGAGCAGAGCAGACGGCTCCTTATGCTTTCGAATCACTCTTGCGGTACTTTGGTGTCATACAACGATCGTGCGCAGCGACACTTGAAGTCGAAGGAACAAACAAACACACCTAACACGTGCATGTATTTGCATCGCTTTGATTGCTTTGATTCTCTGTAGATCTCACCTTCTCATGTGCCACAATTGGTCGATTATGTACAATACCTGCATGTTATTGGTCAAACTACTTTGGATGTTTCAGGCAATATAAAAATCCTGGTCATGATGTGTCTCGAATAAATGGCACATATGGCCACCCTATAAATCACGCATGCAGAACGGCCAATGTGAAATCAGCAGGTGCAGACGTTACCATGCAGAAGCTGTCGGCGGTAAAGCACGTCCCGCAGCGGACTGGCCGGGATGATGAGCGACGGGCGCTGATCGATGCAATGATCCATCTGTTTCTGCAGCTGAGCTTGTAGAGCACTGTTCTCCTGTACACTGCGCTCCAGCTGGGCCCTTAGAGCCCGAACCTCCACCAGCAGCTCCCCGAGCTCCACCGCCGGGCAGCGCACGCCACACACCAACCCTACACAACAGAGGCTCAATGCACCGACTGGATGATAAAATCTATACGTGATTTGTTTGGAGTAACTGGAAACTGTCGTTTGCTGAGAGTCTAGAGCTCAATATTCAACATCACTCATGCACATATTCACACTTCACATGATAGATAATGCACCGCAGCAAATCACACTAGTGAGCAGCAGTGAAGGGGCTCTTTTACATACATCTGTTGCATTTCACAGGAAAAAAGAAACTCGGACAGGTTTGCAGCAACATGAGAGTAAATAAACCACGGCAGAATATTTTTATTTTGGATGTGTGTGGACTATTCCAGTATCGTTCACAGATGTTGTGGTGCGTCTGCGGCATCTCACCTGCAGCGGCGCTCTTTCTCACACCACACACGCGGTCGTACAGCTGTAGTTCACTCCGTAGGGCGTGTAGCAGCTGTCTGCTCTCTGCTAACTGCTGCAGGAGTAAAGTCACCTCGTGCTGCAGTCTGAACACAGATCACCAATTACACAGCCCTCATTCATGTGTCACACTTATCAGTAAGAAACAGATCACAATGAGCAGAAACAAACGAAAATCACAGCTACTTTATGCAGGCTGTGTGAATTTTACTGTGGACTGACTGTTTTGAAACTTATATGGTAGTTACATAGAACCTAGACCTCAGTTATCATGAAAAAAGCCAGGAAATTTCAGTTTTGACAATATGAGACCTTTAAGTTTTCAGTCTGAAATAGTTTGAAGTTTAAAATAGTTTTAAAAGCTTAAAGTTTGATAGATAGATAGATAGATAGATAGATAGATAGATGCTAAGGTCCTCAGAGTGGTTCCTAGGGTGTTTCTATGTGGTTGCTAGGGTACTCTGAGTGGTTGCTAGGCAGTTGCTAGGGCACCCGGGGTGGCTGCTAGGGTGTTGCTATGCTGTTGCTAGGGTACCCGGGGTGGTTGCTAGTGTGTTGCTATGGTACTCGGGGTGGTTGCTAGGGCGTTGCTAGGATACCCAGGGTGGTTGCTAGGGTGTTGCTATGCGGTTGCTATGGTACTCAGGGTGGTTGCTAAGGTGTTGCTATGCTGTTGTTAGGGTATGCGGGGTGGTTGCTAAGGTATTGCTATGCTGTGGCTAGGGTACCCAGGGTGGTTGCTAGGGTGTTGCTAGGCGGTTGCTAAGGTACCCGGGGTGGTTGCTAGGGTGTTGCTAGGCGGTTGCTAAGGTACTGTGGATGGTTGCTAGGCGGTTACTAAGGTACCCGGGATGAGTGAGTGTGTGTGTGAGTGAGTGAGTGAGTGAGTGAAAACAGCGCTGAAGAATATCAGAAAGCCCTTAGCAGCCAAAAAATACAAGCGCTGATAGATCACTTTCTAAATAACACCTATGCTCACACTAATGAAGGTGTCAATCTCGCTATCAAAGATATAAATTACATATTTGAAAAATCAGCAAAACAATCCAAATTGAAAACAAAAAATGGAAAAAATCAAATACCCAAAAATGACAAAAATTGGTTTGATCAAGACTGCCAAACTATTCGCAAAAAACTGAGAACATTGTCAAATCAGAAACACAAAGATCCAAATAATGCAGAGATCCGCCTTCTTTACAGTGAAACACTAAAACAATACAAACATACACTCAGAACCAAAAAAGCACAATACACCCAAAAACAACTGACAATTTTGCTGGGGTGTTGCTAGGCGGTTGCTAGGGTACCCGGGGTGGTTGCTAGGGTGTTGCTAGGCGGTTGCTAAGGTACCCGGGGTGGTTGCTAGGGTGTTGCTAGGCGGTTGCTAAGGTACTGTGGATGGTTGCTAGGCGGTTACTAAGGTACCCGGGATGAGTGAGTGTGTGTGTGAGTGAGTGAGTGAGTGAGTGAAAACAGCGCTGAAGAATATCAGAAAGCCCTTAGCAGCCAAAAAATACAAGCGCTGATAGATCACTTTCTAAATAACACCTATGCTCACACTAATGAAGGTGTCAATCTCGCTATCAAAGATATAAATTACATATTTGAAAAATCAGCAAAACAATCCAAATTGAAAACAAAGAGTGTGTGTGAGTGTGTGTGTGTGTGTGTGTGTGTGTGAGTGAGTGAGTGAGTATTAGAAATAGTACATAGAATGGCAGCTTCATTGAGTCTAATGGGCTTCAGTGTGTTTACATTTGAATTTTTGACAGTTGGAGTTTAATGGAATGTTCAGACTTTTCAATGCAAGTCTATGGGAGTTTTTCTGAGTTTTGATCGTCATTTTTAGGAAAATCGGATCAGTTAGAAAAGATATAGCAACTCAAGTCGTTCTGACTGTTCTAGTCTGAAGGTCTGAGCCGAGTTTGGTGGTTGTAGCTTTAAAGCTCTAGGAGGAGATACAGACTAAAATTTGGCTCAGAAGAAGAAGAACACTAAGTTTATATAGTAGATCAGTAAGTTGGCTTTTTCAAGCCAACTTAATAACTGTAAGTTTAAGTCAGATTTCAGTAAGTTGGCTTGCTCAAGACAACTTAATTAAACTCAAACTTTATTATTTGTATAAAGCAGCTCAGTGATCAGCCATCACGAGTGAACACAGATTTACTGGCTGATTGTGAAAAATTGTTTACTGAGTTTATTGAACTGTTGTATAAAAACAATATGACACACAATTATTCTGTTGTTCTGAATATCAGTCATGTGATGGTCTGCAGTAGAGGTCTACATGGAGGACCTGAGACCCGACCCGGGATCCGTACGGGTTCGGAGCTATATTTTAAATGGTCAGTCGGGTCCGGGTCGGGTCCCAATCTATTACTTCGGGTCCCGGGTCTGTTTAACATTGTGTGTAATACCCGAGTCGATCGGACTCGGAGAACACCCGGCCGTTATCAGAGTCAGTCAGCGCTGTGCGTGTGTTGTTTTGTAACTTTCCACTTGTAAAATTAGTATGAGAAAAGTGTGAGTTATTTTTGACATTTCTCGGTTCTGCACGGGCCCGGGTCCAACTTTCAAAATAATAGACGAATTTTTGGACCCTTGTAGACCTCTAGTCTGCAGTCCAATCACAGATCAACAGCATGAATGTGAGTATGACTAGCAGATCAACGTGCCTCTTCATTTCTCTCCAATACGGTAGGAAATCAAATTAAATGAAATGTGGATGGTGTTAACTGTGATAAGATGATTGACAGGGCAGTTTAAACAGTGACAGAATGCACGTAACTAAGCAACAGAGCGTCCCTTAAAGAAGCAGCTATGACGAAGTAGTATGTCCCAAAGCTTGCCTACTATTCTTCTACATGCTCAAAAGTATGTACTTTTTCTTCTCAAAAAGAGTACATACTTTTAGGGCATAGTATAAGTAGGCGAATTGGGATGCAGCACATGTGTTCATGCTGTTTCTCAGTTTGTTTTTATTTAAACTGCTAATTGAGCGGCTGGACAGTAACACACACACACACCTGATTGGCTGTTGCCAGACTGATAATAAGATGATCCATCAAAACCTCTAATTGGTTGAATCATATTCTCCATGTCCCACAATGCATCTGTTTGCAGAGATGGGCCTCCACTGTTTCCCAGTGCATGATGGGATACAGGCGCGTAATCGATGGAATGCACGGTCATCTGATAGCTGGAGAGCGAGTGAGGAGCGCTGAAAGCTGTTGGAGAAAGAGCGAAGCAGAAATTCACTTCAGGACACACAAGTCTCTAAACTGTTGGTTTCTATCAGGTGAAAACACTCACTTCTGCTCATATCACAGGAGTCTGCCAGGTCAAGAATAAATAATAATAAATAGGAAGAAATGAATGATGCCTAGTCACTTTTCCAACACAATTCATGAGAGAATCTCTAAATCTATAATCTGTGCTGAAACGAGGGGCTTCCAGACACAGTAAATCATTACCATCATTGCACAGCGGAGTTTGTGATGCATAATGAAGTTGAAATAAATGATTTAGGATGTTGACCTCAACTCTCCTTAACAGAAACCTGGTGGCTTCTGTTTGTGGGTTTGCAGTAAGTTTGCAGTTGTTAGTCAGTCAGGGACAAACACATGCTGTGCGCTCACTTCTCATGGGCGGCCTCCGCTGTGCTGGGACAGTCAGGATCCTGCGCTCGGGGTCAGGGCAGGTCAGGGGGGTAAAGGTCATGGGGTTAGAGTGAGCAGGCCAGCTCTGGGTTTGGATCAGAGGCTGTGAGCTGGGCAAGAGTCCTGTGAACACACCTGCAGACAGTGGAGCACAGATGCATGTGTCTCTATGTGTGTCAATGACATACTGTCTACCTGTCGCACTCTCCTGTGTCCTGTAGGGGGAGACACTGGACTGACGACAGCAATGAGATCATCTTCATTAACATCTGGGTAAAACACACACTGTGAAGTTTTGGGAGTGACAGCCGCATTAACAGTCTGAGATCAGAAGGAAACAGACTGTGAAGTTCACAGATTTTATTTTTAGTTCTATTTTGTCTTTTGTTTTAATGACAGCAGCATGGCAGCTACATGAACAAAACCTGATGATCATGTTTTCCAGAATCAGAAGTCTGATCTGAGTCACTCAATAAATGTTAGGTTTCTTTGTTTTGAATTCTCAAAAATCCAAAAACTTTGTGCATTTTCATGTTTAAATGAAAACAATCCCAGATTTCCAACATGCATGTATTCATTTTTGATTTATTACTTATTGATTTATGATTCTTATTTTAATCAATTTCAAGTTAAATTTTATTAGTCACATACACAATCATACACAGTACGACTTAGTGAAATGCTTGGTACGACTCTCCACACAGAATGCAATAGACTATATATTAAAAGAAATATTATAAAAGTAGTAATAAGAAGAGAAAGAAAAGAAAAACTGTATCCTAAGAAATACTTTAGGTTGAATAGTGAATAGAATTACAAAATACTGTAAGAAGAAATTAAGCTAAGAAATTAACAATAAAGAATATAAATAAAGAGAAGAATATACAGATTACTAAAATTACAGCAAAAAATTAAAAATTAAAATTTAACCAAGTAAAAAGATAGAGAATATATGTACAAAAATATGTGAATGAGTACATCTCTGAGTACAGACATGGTAACAGCAACAATCTGATAGTATGTGTATGTGCAGTAAAGTGCAATTATGCTTGTGCGGTCTGTAATAATAAAAGAAGTTTAATGTTAATATGGTGTTGTATAGTGCAACTAAATCTTGTTGGCATTGTCCTGGTTCAGGACACGGATAGCCTGTGTGAAGAAGCTTCTCCTCATTCTCTCAGTTTTAGTCATCATGGAGCGAAAGCGTTTCCCTGACCTCAACAGAGAAAAGAGACCACTGTTAGGATGGCTGAGGTCCTTCATGATCTTCCTGGCTTTGGTACAGCATCGTTTGCTGTAGATGGATTCCAGGTCAGGGAGTTCAATGCGAATAATGCGCTCAGCTCAGCTGATCGCACCACCCTCTGTAGGGCCCATCTGTCCTGCTTTGTGCTGTTCCTGAACCAGGCTGTGATGTTTCCTGTCAGGATATTCTCAATAGTGCAGGTGTAGACATTTGTTAGCACTTTGGTGGACAATTTAAAGTCTTTCAAGCACCTAAGGTGGTAAAGACACTGACGGGCTTTCTTCACCAAGGTGGTGATATGATTTGTCCATGACAGGTTATGTGAGATGTGGACTCCAAGGTAACAAAAGCTATCTACTCTCTCCACAGAAGCCCCATTGATCATAGTGGGTTGGTAGCTCCTCACCTGTTTTGTGCTGAAGTCCACTATCAGCTCTTTTGTCTTGCTGACATTCAGAAGAAGGTTGTTCTCCTGACACCAGTCCTCCAGTCTTTTAATCTCCTGCAGATAAGCTCTCTCATCATTATCAGAGATCAAGCCTACCACAACAGTATCGTCAGCAAACTTAACGATGGTAGTGGAATCTGAAGTGGCAACACAGTCATATGTGTACAGCGAGTACAACAAAGGGCTTAGAACACACCCCTGGGGTGCTCCTGTGCTGAGGGTGAGTGAGGATGAGATCTGTCTGCCCACCCTTACTGCTTGTGGCCTGTCAGACAGAAAGTTGTAGATCCACTGACGCAGGGTTGGGCTAAATCCTAGGTTCTCCAGCTTTAATGTTAGTTTTGAGGGAATAATAGTGTTAAAAGCTGAACTGTAATCAACAAACAGCATTTTGACATAATTCCCCCTCCTCTTGTCCAGATGATCTAGGGCTGTGTGGAGGAGATGTGTAATGGCATCATCAGTTGAGCGGTTTTGGCAAACTGTAAGGAATATAGGGTGTCGGGTAGCATGGAGGTGATGAAATTTCTAACAAGTCTTTCAAAACACTTCATCACAATTGAGGTCAATGCTACAGGGTGATAGTCACTAAGACAGGAGGTTTGCGATTTCTTAGGGATAGGAACAATGATGGACTGTTTGAAGCATGTGGGAATTTCCGACTGATCCAGGGAGAGATTGAATATCTCAGTGAACACTGGTGCTAGCTGGTCTGCACAAGCTCGAAGAACCCGACCTGAGATTCCATCTGGTCCTACTGCCTTCCTTATGTTCACTCTCTGGAAAACCCTTCTCACTTCACCCTCTGTGATGATAAACGCTTTTCCTGCATTTGTGCTCTCCTCCTGTATGCAGTCTTTGTTCTTATTAGTGCCAACAGCACCGTTAGCACGGGTAGAGACTGTGCCTTGTAGCTTCCTTTTAATGCAGTGTAACAGTGATCCAAAATTGTATTACTTCATGTAAGACATGTAATATGTTGATGGAAATTTGGCTCTGCGCGTTTGAGGTTAGCACTGTTAAAATCCCCCAGTACAATAAGTGCGGCATCCTGGTGATAGGTCTGATATTCAGTGAGAGCTTCATGTAATTCCCATATAGCAGTGCCCGTATCCGCCTGAGGTGGAATATAAACTGCGCTGACAATGATTGAGGTAAATTCCCTAGGAAGGTAGAAAGGGCGACATTTGATGGTCAAAAGTTCCAAGTTGGGTGAGCAGGAACACTTGAGAAAGATAGCGCTCCTGCTATCGCACCAGCTGTTGTTTACCATCAAACACACACCACTTCCCTTTGACTTCCCTGACTCCATTGTTCTATCCATGCGAAAAACCGAAAAGAACTCGGCCAGCTGGATCGCATGATCCGGTATCGCTGGATTCAGCAGGTTGTTCTCCTGACACCAGTCCTCCAGTCTTTTAATCTCCTGCAGATAAGCTCTCTCATCATTATCAGAGATCAAGCCTACCACAACAGTATCGTCAGCAAACTTAACGATGGTAGTGGAATCTGAAGTGGCAACACAGTCATATGTGTACAGCGAGTACAACAAAGGGCTTAGAACACACCCCTGGGGTGCTCCTGTGCTGAGGGTGAGTGAGGATGAGATCTATCTGCCCACCCTTACTGCTTGTGGCCTGTCAGATAGAAAGTTGTAGATCCACTGACGCAGGGTTGGGCTAAATCCTAGGTTCTCCAGCTTTAATGTTAGTTTTGAGGGAATAATAGTGTTAAAAGCTGAACTGTAATCAACAAACAGCATTTTGACATAATTCCCCCTCCTCTTGTCCAGATGATCTAGGGCTGTGTGGAGGAGATGTGTAATGGCATCATCAGTTGAGCGGTTTTGGCAAACTGTAAGGAATATAGGGTGTCGGGTAGCATGGAGGTGATGAAATTTCTAACAAGTCTTTCAAAACACTTCATCACAATTGAGGTCAATGCTACAGGGTGATAGTCACTAAGACAGGAGGTTTGCGATTTCTTAGGGATAGGAACAATGATGGACTGTTTGAAGCATGTGGGAATTTCCGACTGATCCAGGGAGAGATTGAATATCTCAGTGAACACTGGTGCTAGCTGGTCTGCACAAGCTCGAAGGACCCGACCTGAGATTCCATCTGGTCCTGCTGCCTTCCTTATGTTCACTCTCTGGAAAACCCTTCTCACTTCACCCTCTGTGATGATGAACGCCTTTCCTGCATGTGTGCTCTCTGCCTGCATGCAGTCTTTGTTCTTATTTGCGCCAACAGCACCGTTAGCACAGTGAGATGCAGCCTCAAAACGAGCTTAAAAAGTATTTATCTCATCTGCAAGAGAAGCGTCAGTCTTCGCGATCACGTGGGCTGGTGTTTTATAGTCCGTTATCGTTCTCAGCCCTAACCACAACCTTCTAGAGTCGCCTTGAAGAAACTGTGACTCTACTAGCGCTGCTTTGTATCCTCATCATATATTCATATTCAAGTATTTACTCATTACTGTTACTCATTTATGTTTATCTTTTATTTTGTTTGATGTGTGTTAATAAGTAATATTCGTAGTATTCTCCAAAAATATGTATGTTATGCACGTTATATATGTTTGAAAGTAACAACACCAGTTTGGAAGGACGTGACTTTCCTGCATATATATTCCTTGTGCCTACTCTTCTCTTTTACTCTTTACTCTTTCTTCTCCTTCTTTCCTCTGTTTCTTTTGCTTTTCCCCTCTCCTCATATTCTGCATATATCGTACTTCTTTTGGGATTTTCTTCTAATATTCATTACTTCATCCCTTAGATATAATAATTTGGAATACTCTGCACTTTAGTACAAATTATTGAATAAGATAAATTAATTTTGCTGTAAACTTACTTCCTATTATAATTTCATATTTACTCTATTCTTTTTTTTTATTTAATAATTTTTTTATTCCTTCTTCTAAAATTGATCCCTGACGTAATCGTTCATCTTCTGCCTGGATCTCACTGCATCACATATGTTTGCTTAAGTGAAATTTATCATTCTTTGACTATACTTTGACAAATTATTTAGTGATACTAGAGGAACGATTTGTGATCTCTCAGCAGAAACCCTACCTGTAAATATTTTTACATATTCAGATCTAGATATATTTGATATTGTCATAGTTATTATAGTCATAACAGAAAGACTTTCTGTAAAGCTGTTCTGAAACCATGTGTCGAATGTTAGCAGTCAAACACTTATCAGCATGAAGCAATTACATGGATTTAGAGAAAGTTCAGCTGTCACTCAATAAGATTTCTGTGAGAGGTGTGTGTGTGTGTGTGTGTGTGTGTGTGTGTGTGTGTGTGAGTGTGTGTGTGTGAGGTCGCCGTGATTTTGCCAAGTAAGACATGTTCATGGATTAACATCTTTTGTTGATCCTGGATCAACATTACTGTCCAAAAATATAGACTTAACCCATTCCTTACCCCTAAATCTAACCCTACCCATCATTTATTCCTAAAATCAGTGTGAAATAATAGCTGATTAACAAGGGTGTAGAAGCACCTAACCCTGATCGTAAGCCTAAAACAGATATTTCCTGAAAAGTTATCCCTCAATTCTGATTGTACTTGGTGAAATCACGGTCACCGTGTGTGTGTGTGTGTGTGTGTGAGTGAGTGAGCGAGTGTGTTTCAGTAACTCATTAGTGTGTGTGTGTGTGTGTGTGTGAGTGAGTGAGCGAGTGTGTTTCAGTAACTCATTAGTGTGTGTGTGTGTGTGTGTGTGAGTGAGTGAGCGAGTGTGTTTCAGTAACTCATTAGTGTGTGTGTGTGTGTGTGTGTGAGTGAGTGAGCGAGTGTGTTTCAGTAACTCATTAGTGTGTGTGTGTGTGTGTGTGTGAGTGAGTGAGCGAGTGTGTTTCAGTAACTCATTAGTGTGTGTGTGTGTGTGTGTGTGAGTGAGTGAGCGAGTGTGTTTCAGTAACTCATTAGTGTGTGTGTGTGTGTGTGTGTGAGTGAGTGAGCGAGTGTGTTTCAGTAACTCATTAGTGTGTGTGTGTGTGTGTGTGTGAGTGAGTGAGCGAGTGTGTTTCAGTAACTCATTAGTGTGTGTGTGTGTGTGTGTGTGTGAGTGAGTGAGTGAGTGAGTGTTTCAGTAACTCTCAGTGTGTGTGTGTCTGTGTGTGTGAGAGAGAAATTCAGTAATTCTCATTAGTGTGTGTGTGTGTGTGTGAGATTCAGTAATTCTCTTTAGTGCGTGTGTGTGTGTGTGAGATTCAGTAATTCTCATTAGTGCGTGTGTGTGTGTGCAGGGATTAAAGTTCCGTCTCTACGACGGATTTCCGTCAGTTCATAAAGACAGTCACTTGCTTCATTCCTGAATGATTCAGCCGTTCGAACAAATCAATTGAATGAATGATTCAGTGATAAAATCAGTGACTTGCTGCCACCTGCTGGCGGATTTAGTTTCATTTTTAGCGTATAATTTCAGTTATTTAAATCATATTTCTGTATTCAAAATGTTATATTTAAAACATTAATCTCCACATGAATGTATGACTTTAATTGCACTCGTGCCACCTCTGAGCCTCATTGAACGTCTGAAAATTTACCTACAAGCCACTTTTGTGTTCTTCTGTGCCACCTCTGTAGTACAAATTAATTTATTAATACTAATTTCATATGATTGGTAACTTATTTGTCTTATTCTACTTCTTATTATATTGCAGGGGTTAAAGCAAAAAAAAAATGTATTTTGACTGAAAATTTTTCTTCGATCAAACCCCATTCCTCAGCCATACCTGTCACACACCCAGTTTAAGAGCAGTGTTTTTCTTCTTGTAATTAGGAGCGTTTATCCTCCTAATTAAAAAATTTAGGAGCACCTTCTGATCAATAATCAAAAATTCTGATCAAAAATTAGCCTTCCTAATACGAGGTGACATTTGACTCCTTAAAGTGACTTGCAGGAGTATTTTCTTTTAACCTTTGTAATGGCATCATTTTCATCTATGTCAAATTCAAAAATGCATGTTTATAATCTTTTTAAAATTTCTATTTAAAACAATATGTAGAATAAGACAAATAAGCTACCAATCATATGAAATTAGTATTAATAAATTAATTTGTACTACAGAGGTGGCACAGAAGAACACAAAAGTGGCTTGTAGGTAAATTTTCAGACGTTCAATGAGGCTCAGAGGTGGCATGAGTGCAATTAAAGTCATAAATTCATGTGGAGATTAATGTTTTAAAT